CTGTGGGATCAATAAAGTTTTTATCTTATCTTATCTTATCTTATCTTATCTTATCTTATCTTATCTTATCTTATCTTATCTTATCTTATCTTATCATTATAGACGTGTAAAATATTTGTTGTATTTATAAACAGAAATGATGTAATAGGTTAGGAGCTGCTGAGCAGCATTGAAAACGTGGGACAAAACATTTTAGTTTCACATGTTGGTGTTTAATGTTACAGAATTTGTTACATAAAGTTGCCTCAGAAAATCTGACTAAGTTGTTGAGGATACATCACCATTTCAAACCATCTGACAGTAATTTTGAGAAATGCTCAACAAATGAGAACATGAACAYGACTCAGTCTGAGATGATGAGCAATCCGTGTCAAACTTTTACAACCAAAATACGACAAACACACGCACGACACACAAAGYCTCTCTCCTCTTTGCAAAGACAAATTACCACCATGTGAACTGCCTGACATGCACCCATATTTTCACAGTGTTCATGTGTGCGTGTTGGTGTGTGTGTGTGTGTGTGTATGTGTGTGTGTCTGTGAGGAGGTTTGGAAATAAGCCCTGCAGTCCAAAGTTATTACCAGCGAGGAGTAGTGTGTTGGGACACGAGCCCCAGAAGAAGAAGTGATGGGATGAAATGGAGATGAAAGTTGAGAATGTCCTGCTGTGACTGAATGAACCTTCAATAACCTCAAAACCACAAACGTTCAAAACAAAACATTTTGTGAGACGGTGTGAGGGTTAGCGAAGTGAATGAGGCTAAATGAGTTAACACTGTTGTTGTTGACCAGTTACTGGTTTGCATTCAGCCCATGTGAATGCAAAATAACAAGTCAAAACAATTGTACATTTATTTATTTATTATTTGAATTTCTTTTGATGTAAAAAGGTGCAGATATAAGATATTTTCTTCCTTCTGCTGCCTTTCATTTTATTTTTCATTTGCATTTTTTGTATACTGAATTTGCTTTGTTTTCCTAAATGAAATGAATGAATAAACTAAACTA